TAAGCAAACACAAATTTCACATTTTGAAATCTGAACAAACTTTAAACACTTCCATTAATTATAATGGAGGGCTAAAGCAATTAACTCTACTCATTACCATGGTTTTAGTTTCTTATATCATTCTGTTATCGTTCAATGGAAAGCATTTTTTTCCCCAATAGCAATACATATTAAAACCTGTTGTTGGAACACTGAGGTGACTAAACACAAAATACAGATGATAAAATTTTCTCATATATCTTTGCTTACAGGCTGGAATTAACAGCACAAGCATTGTGGTGATATCTTCAATAACTACTTAAGTAGTTACTGAAGCTTCCCCCTCCAGGTCTTTATATTTTCAAGGTAGAAATCAGTAGAAATCAGAGATTTGCATTTGGCAAACTACTCTAGGGAAAATAAGCTGTAATAAATATTTTACTTCACCATATTAACTTGCTAAAATTGGTAAATTTTGATACCCAAATATTTACCCCCCTAAGGTTATCTCAAATTCTCTAGAACTTTTTGTATAATTTCTAATAAAACAAGTTTTAGGCTCCCCCAGTGCAACCCAAACAGGTCAGACAAATATCTTCTAAGTGAACACAACTTTCTATGTTACAGTTAAAAACCATGACAGGCTCTAAAAGACAAAGCTCAAAAGTATCATAGTAACCAATTACTCTGCAACACTGGAATATGAAAAAGAATATTAATTACAAAAAGAAAGCAAACCGAGAGAAATTTAGGGAACATATTAGGAGAGAAGAATAAACTAGATCTCAATTTTACTTTAATAAAAATTGCACTGGTGTGTTAATTTAGCAATAACACCACAATCTAACTTTTAATGTTCACTCTAATCAATTAAATTGCATAAAATTTTTCTAATTAGCATTATAAAACAACTCAGTCTAGAAGTTAATGGCTCTGTGAGTAACTTGAACAGAAAAGCTGATTTAAATATTTCATTCTGACTTACATGAAAATTGATCTAATATGTCACAACTCTAGTTCCCCAAAGATTTGATTCTTTTAAAGCTATGTGATTAACTTTACTTGTGTCTACATCTCCCAAAAGATTTGAGGCGTAGACATCCTGGTAACATTAGCAACTATCATACTAAGCTTATATCAGCATTTGCCTTTTTAGTAAAACTAGGATCTAACAACTGCAAATTTCCATACACATATTTTATTTCTCAATCCATTTAAAAATTTTTAAATGCATGCTAACTAGAAACAAAACCATTGATATGATAACACATAATATTTATTGCTTTTTTCTCTAAACCTTCCCTAGCCTCTTTGGCTTCCTCTTTAAATCACAAACTCATATATAGATATATGAATATATCTAGATATATTCATATATCTATATAGAATTTTTTCTCCCTTTAAGATACAACTAACTCTATTAAAAACTACCAAATTACAATAGAGGAATCTGGAAGTACTCACTGTTTTATCTCGAGTTCAATTCAATTGCTTCAGCTGAAATAAATGCATGAAGACTTTTCAGAAATAACTTTTACATAAGGATAAAATGATTTCTATGTAAGAGACAATTACCAGCCAACATTATTATCACCAGAAAATTGTAAGCTAGAATGAGCAATAAAAACATTGTATTTGGAATGAGATATTAGAGAATAGCTATTAAAATATTTCACTCAATTTCTATTACACCTTAAAATGAAAGTCATCAAAATGTCATTACAGTCCTTTTCTCCAGATTCTTTTGAGACTGAATTTAATCATTTCAGGAAATTGAGCACTATCCAACACTCACTTAAATCCTTTGAAATAACAGCAAAACAAAACACAATGTAATAGTTATAAGGCATCCTATATTAAAATATGTTTATATACATTCATACATACCATATAGCAGGGAATAATTGCCTTCAAGTACCTAGAATTAAATTTCTTGTGAAGTAAACATTCATTTAAGAAGACCTTAAATAAGAAAGTCATGTGAAGAAACAGAATGGAGTTTTACAAATCCCAGTCTTAATAAGGTGCTAAACCAGCAGTCTCAAAAAACTACCTTCAAACATTCTTTTTTTTTTTTTTGGAAATTACTTCCAGCCACAATGATTACCTGTACAATAGACCACAAAACTTTTAACTGCTGCTCCACAAAAGGAACTAACCACTAGAATTGGTGCAATTACATTAATAATAGCATCCTTATGCATTCTTCCAAGAAAACTAGTAATCTGTAAAGATTTTTCAAGACTCAGAGACCTTCCACATCACCTAATTTCAGTTCTTACCAGGTCTAGCAGTAAAATCACATAAAGTAAATGAAGAATTTTTTTCCTGATCCTCCCAGATGCTTTTCTTTAAAAAATAGAAATCTGCTTATTTTCAGGGCTGAAAGATAACATAACTACCTTATTGTATTTTGCTTACAAAAGCTAGACAATCTTTAGAAAAATGACTATGTAATTTCCAAAGACACTGCCTTCTTTAAACACTTTATTTACTATATATATAAAAGTACACTGTATGTTTTAAATAGTTTTATTTTAAAAAGTAATTTTCTAAAATTACTGGCAAGAAATAGTTTGCAAATTGCACTTTTAAAGATGTTTCATTTTTACCTTTTAATTTGATGAAGATACCACTTCTTATGGAACCCATTTCTTTTTCCCTGCAGAAACTCAGTGCTGGCCATTTAGGATAAAAACGTTAGCATATTACTATTAAAAAAAAGAATAAGCTGCCCTTCAAAGCTACAATCTCTAGAAAGGAAGCTGAAGGTGCTTCTAATACCTCTTCTAGCCCCTGTTTTTGTCATCACCATTTTATCAGCACAGGGTAAGTTCCATGCAGCATCAATGAAGCTGTATTTTTTAAGGGAACAGGAAATATAGGAGGTCTCATCTGCTAAGCACAGCTGTATACCCCCCACTGCCTCTTAATCACAGCGCTGCTCTCTAACGAGGTTCTAGAATGCAAGCATGTCAGCATGCCCAGGGACTAGTAAATCGCCCACAGGCAGAACATTCCTAAGAGTCACCAGTATTGGATACAACTTTTCCTCAAATAAAAAGAAAGGGAAAAAAACAGCATGAGCCTGAAAGCAACAGACACAGCACGTCTGCCTGGTTTTGCCTTGCACTTGGCAGTTCGCAAGCAGATGCCAAGCATCGGAGAAACTCCTCCTTACACTTCTGACTAGCCTGGCCATCCCAGGCGGTCCGCTCCATAGGCAGCCTCAACTGCAAAGAAAGTCAGGGTAGGAATCCTTCCCCTCTCTTCTGCAATCCCCCTAAAGCCTATCACCCCCAATCACAACCAAGGACAATTTCCTCCACTTTTCGCCAAGTTTTAGAGGCCCCTCCGCAATAAAAGATAGCTGTTTGTGGAGGCTGCCTTGTTCCATTCCATTAACTCAGAACAAAACATTTTTAGTGGGACAGCGGTGTTTACTTGTAAGAACTGATGAATTGTTCAGCACCCGTTTATCACAAGCAAACAAAGACATTCAGCCACAATTTTGGACGTAAATCAAGGTACATGCTCTTCAACTAAAAAAAAAAAAATCAAAAAAGATTGCCTAAGTCTCCAAAACCACAGAGACTGAGGTCGAACTGGCCATAGCAACGAAGATCAGGACTTGGGTCTCCAGAAGGACCTAGCAACGGATAAATGAGTTCAGATCTCTTTTCATCTCCACTGGTGTGAAAGCCAAAATTAAAAAGATTAGATCACCCTGCACCCATTACAAAAGGCACCACAATGAAAAAGTCATTTCCAGCCTTTGAATCACATCAAATAAATAACATTCATCTCAGCTATAATGAACAACTTTCAAAGTAAATTGAATCTCCATAGTACTGCTTTCCCTGGCTGCACCGTATTTACATAACAATATATCACAGGAAGCTCAGAATGGGTTTTGTAAATGGGGAACTCCGGATAAAAAGCATCTTTAGCCCCGATTACTGTATACTCAAACTGCTTTTCAATTCCCCTCATTTAAACAATGTGCTATATCAGGAACATAAACAATGCTTTTAAATTGTGGGAAATTGAAAGTTTGGGGCACGATTTTAAATGTCTGTTCTCAAACCTTTTGTGGAGCGCGAAGAATGGAAGAATCACCTATCCTCCTAATTCCCTGCCCTGGACTCATATTTGTGACAAAGAATTCTCATCTATGTGTACACTTGCTTCTTTGTTCGTGCTAGCAATTTTTCACCCAAATATCTCCTGTATTTTAATCTACTAGTGAAGACAAAAAACACATTTGCAAATTTTGTTAACATGTGGTTTATTCATTATTTGTCATTTCCTAGAAAGTATATTATATTCTCCATTTTGCAATAAGAACAAAGTCTATTAAGTTTTAGCAATCACCCCAAATGCTCATTTTCAACAGTAGAGATTTGACACAAATTTCTTCAACTCATTAAAAAATCTTTTAAGAACAGATATTCCAAAAGAGTTTACTTTCCTTAAACTATTATACAATTCATATGCTTCAAATGGACTATGTTCAAAATAGGACAATTAAACCATGTTAAGATATACTAACAGACTCCTATCTTTATTTTGTGGCTCACATAGACATTACTATTTGAACTCCACGGGGAATCTCATTAATTTTTAAAACTCTCTGACCTCAGTACAGTTGAGTGTAAAAATAATTACAAATTAAGAATGAAAGAGCATCACTTGAATTCTACTCAGCCATATGCTCTACATTGCACAAAACATTGCTAACTATCATCAAACAGATTTTTTTTCTCAGCTATGAATTTAAACAGCATGATAAATGTCATCAGACCGACATAAAAAGCAGCTCACCCTTCCGCCCAGCTCCGCTCCCACCTCACCTCCGGATGATTCTAGTAACACAAAGCCTCAAGAACCCAGGTTTGCAGGCAAGCAACAGCACAGATGACACCCTCGTGAAAACATTTCCCATTGGAGATCGTATAAACCTCTGCTACCAGGATGCAAAAATTTTTTTTTAAAAAAGGGGGGCATAAAGATTTTCTTACCAAAAACTTGTCAGAACGATGTTCCTCGGGTCCTTGTCATTGTTGTCACCTCCAGTGCCCCCTCTTGCCATTGTGGAAATTGGCTCCACTCTGTTTATTGCTCTGTGCCTCAGTTACAGCTGGGGCACTCATCTGCCTGCACAGAACCTACCAGGGGAAATGAGAGACAGAAGAGTAAGAGAGAGAGAGAGAGAGAGGGAGTGGAAGTGTGTGCGTGCGCGTGCTTGTGTGTGTGTGTGTGTGTGAGCGAGCGTGTGTGTGTGTGTGTGTGTGCATGTGTATGTGCGTGTTTGTGCCTGTGTGAGTGTGTGTGTGCGCGTGCGTGTGTGTGTGCGTATGAGAAAAAGGGAGACAGAGACAGAGACTGCTGACTTAAGACTAAGAACCTAAAACCTCCGACCAAGTCAAGCCTGAATAAAAATGATCAAAGCGCTGTCCTTCATCAAGAGTGTAGACAGATATTTTTTTTCCTCCTCCACTGAAAAGTGGAGCTGTCATTGGGAATTCTCACCAGCAAGGCGCAGACAGAGGACGGTCTCCTCCGGAGTGTCAGCGCTACCCAGCAGTCCGTGCAGAATACAGGTACCTATTGTTCCAGAGACAGATATGTAGCCAGCCAGTCAGACTCTGACAGATCTCAGCAAACCAGTGAGCCTGCCTTCATTTTAACTCCTTATTTCCTAGTGCTTTTTGGTCAAACGCAGAGGTCTTCTTATCACCCACAAGAAATAAATGGAGATGATGCAGATGAGCTCACAGCGGGAACTAGTCCTGTATCTTTTACGAATGGGACCTTTTCCTGCTATTTATTGAAATGCAGATTTTGATACTAATGTCCCCCCCCTCCCTTCCCAGAAATGAAGAATTGGATTGCACAGGCAAGACTTAGCTAGTAAAAGAAAACCTCAGCATCTAAGATAAAGAGTGCAGACAATTTAAAAGAAAGACCCAAACAGGGTTTAAAAAAAATCAAAACACCATGAGAATGTTTTCCAGAACACGAATGGGGTAACCTAAGCCAAAGGGGTCCCAACTTTTGCATAAGGGTGTGGCACACTGAATACATTCAGCACAAAAAGCTACCAGTAGACTTCTATTTTCCTAAGGGCTAAAATCTTTTTTTTTTATTATTTTTCTTCTAGACACCTGTGTTTTCTCCAGGACCTCCTAAACTATCTGCCTTCCTAGAGCCTTACCAGTGTCTAATTTTTGACTAAGGTAGTATAACAAAATTAGTAATATCCAAAGAAAAATAACTTGGTTTGATTTCTCCCTTATGTTTCCTGAGGTCTATTTGATTCCGTAAGTTCCTGGACCTTTTCAAAACACCTATGAGTTTCTGACTTTTATCTTTATGTGTTGTTTCTGACTTTTATCTTTATGTGTTAACTGAATAAACTGCCTCCTAAGAAATGAAAGAAGGCTAATGTCTTGCATTTGACTGTGTAATACCATTAGAATCAGGGGAAGGAAGGAAGGAAAGAAGGAAAGAAGGAAGGAAGGAAGGAAGGAAGGAAGGAAGGAAGGAAGGAAGGAAGGAAGGAAGGGAGGGAGGGAGGGAGGGAGGGAGGGAGGGAGGGAGGGAGGGAGGGAAGGAGGGAGGGAGGGAGGGAGGAAGGAGGAAGGGAGGAAGGGAAGGAAGGAAGGAAAGGAAGGAGGAAGGGAGGGAGGGAGGGAGGAAGGAAGGAGGAAGGAAGGAAGGAAGGAAGGAAGGAAGGAAGGAAGGAAGGAAGGAAGGAAGGAAGGAGAAAAGAAAAAGTAGGCTGCTGTTGAGTTTAAACAAAATGTGGACTTATGCTTTCCCAAAAGACTTAGTATAAAAACATTTTGGACTTTTTTTTCTAGAGGAAACACCAATTTCACTCATTGTTACCATTGATACATCAGTGTGCATATTCTGACATAGTAGGTATGCTGCAGAGGCTATAAAATGGTTATGAAAATTTCTTTGTAAACCACACTCATGCATCATTTTACAGAGCCAGAGGGTAAATACTCAGCGCAATAGGGGAGATTTAACCATGCATAGCTCTTGATTGTAATGAGCTAAGCAGTGTAAATCCCAGTATTACCCAGCAGCTTCTTCTAAATATGAAAGATTTGTATTATTTTTAATGCTAATAAGAAATTGAATTTTGGAATTTCAAAATCCCTTTTTAAAAAGAAAAAAAGACATAGAAAAATATAGTTTCTCCTTTTCACAGTTTCTTATCCTAAACTCCAACTTTATGAAACCATTTCAAGTCATGCTAATTTAACTAGGGCCTAGAGCAATTAATATGGGCTTCAGAAACTCTTTTCAAATTTAAAATTACTTTACTAAGTAACAGCTAATACATCCGCATTGCAGTTTGTACACAGGGAAAGCTTTTACTATGGAGGTAGGAAGAAGAAGCATAACCAAAGACTTTACCTAAAAGAGGAGAAAGTATACAAGGCTCTTACTAAGCTCATCTTAACCTATGAGTAAGGAACAAAGTCAAGGTAATCACAGAGCCTTTCTCTTCTAAGTGGTGTAAGTAGATTTTCAGACTCATTTCAAAGGACACGCATATTTTTGTAAGTTTAAGAGATCCCTTAAATGAAAAATCTCATTTGTCATAATTATTTTAATATCACAATAGCAAAATCCCATTTCATAGAAGAAAGCAGACTAGATAAGAGGTGTGCATGCAGAACAGAGCTGGATCTCATCAGAGGGGACAGGCTGCACATAGGCCAGGTGCCCCCATTGCCTCCAATGCTGCAGTTTCAAAGGGACATTTAAGCCCTCAACTCCTGAGCATGTGATAAGACTTAGGTGTAAGTTCATTTAATTAGAGCATTACCCAGACCTCACCCAGATGTCATCTTTTATGATGGGTTTTTGTTTGTTTCTTTTGATCTTGCTACCCAATTTCTGTTGTCTTCAGAAAACCAAGCTTGGTGTGCCAAATAGATTGCAAATAATAAGCTCTTAACATGTTTGAATACAGACAGTTCTCCCAGTGGGGTTCCATTATTTTCTGGAGGCATGTGTGGAAAGTTATCAACATTAATGGAAGTAGTACATGTGTAAATAAAAAACAGAGGATGTATTCTTGCAGTGCGTATGTCTGTGCGTGTGTGTGTGTGCGCAAATAGTTACCAGTATTTTGAAAACTACACATTCCTTTTTATTTTATAAGTCGGGAAAATAGATCATTTTTCTCTTAGGAACATTTTCACAAAACCCTCCTAGGCCATCTTTGTCCCTAGGATACAGAGGCCTAAGTTTATCATCCACATGTCAGTCCCCAATAATTAATGTCAAGCAAAAGTTCAAAATTAAGTGTCAACAGTTCTATGAAAGGGAAAAAAACTGGTTTTTGTCCTGAGTTTTTAAGAAATACACACAAACACAGGTGAGGGGCACTACTCATTATCTACAGCACAATCAGTAACTGCTGTGCATTTATTTACCTCTCTTCAGCTACATAGTTTGAGCTGACAATCTGAAATTAGGTTTCCCAGAAGATGTGAAAGGAAAAGGGAATATTCTCTTTATATTATATGTAAAGTATTCTGACTTCCTTATAATTTCTTCCCAGAACTTGCTATAGACACATTTGGTTATTCATTTACACAGTAAACCACATGCTGATAAAACTTCTAAGAGACTCTCTGGAAATATTGTGAGTAACTCAATTCCAGCAATGTTGAAAATAGTCACTCCACCAAATTAAACATTATCTAAATTCTCCACATAGTTATTAAATACATAGAAGATCACCTCCGTGCATAATCTATAAATGACTTGGATTACATATTAAAATTCTAATTAAAAATCCTTGTCTTATCTCAGTTGGCTGATTTGAGATTAGAGCATAAATTCTGTCTTGGAGTGAAAGCTTATATAGAATCAAGATTTCTGATGGTCGCAAGTTGGAAATTATTAGAAATATTGCAAAATATTTTAATGTAAAGGAAATGATTTAAAACTATGAACAACTTCCAAAGCTCTCTTTTTCACGAGGATATTTGGTACTATGAGGAAATTTAGAGAACTTTAAGAGATTAATTTTTAGCTAAATAAAGAAGAAAGTATTACCATGATTACTTTTAAAACTGAGATTTAAAAAAAATGAATGACACAACTTGGCTGATTAGAAAAAAACATTATAAAATACATAATCTAAAACTTAGCCAATGGTCAAACCAGAACTGAGTAATTTACTAGTGAATTTTTTGTTTAATCCACCAAGTGGGAACACTGATTCCCAAAGTACTGTTGAAAATTGATAGAAAAATTGATAGAAAGTGTTAGGGGCTACTTTCCACCATCCAAAAACCTACATTATTTAAAGGAGTGACTATTTGGCAATTAATAGAAGAAAAAGTATGCAATTTCCGTAACAATTCCCTTTACCACAGCATAAAAACATAAACTCTTAGAGAATCTGTCTGACAAGATTCCTGAGCCACAGATTAAATTAGTTAAAAACTTGGTTTCAGAAAAATTCAGTGACATCTTTTATTCACCAATGCAAAAGCAATAAGATACTTCCAGGTAATGGTAAAATTATTTTTGAACCTTTCTTCTGCAATAGCTGCTGGGGGTCAACTCTGAGAACACATACTCAGACAATAGAATGTCAATATTTTGAATCCTAACAAAGTATTTGCATTGTTGCATATATAAATGAAAAGACATGTTTCCTATGTCCTGGTAAGTAGTTTCAGATTTATATGACAAAAAAAAAAACAAACAAGAAGCTGATTTCTGGCTTCAGATTTAATATAAAGACATTTCATTTCTATGGGAAAAACCCAAAAGGAAGAAGGCAAAAAGGTTGGTAAGAAGTTCCCTATTCTGTATAAAACCTTTTAAAAGTTCACAGAAGATTACAGAACATGTATATGTCCTTAAAAAATTATGTCTTTGGTCATGTAGTCCTCCTAATTCAAGTCTTTTGATTAAAAATCAAAATAAAGCACGATCTATTCATATCACAAAGTTCTCACAATCCTGAGTTAAAACACCATCCTTAGCTACTGCTGCTTAAGGAGAGTCTTTAAAAACCAATTTAATTCTCTTCCACCCAGTCAAGTTTTCTCCACAGATAATTGGTTTTCATTATATGCACAAAAGTATCAATGAAGTCAGTGTGTGTGAGGCATTTAAATATTTTCAAATGAAAGTATGCATGTATTTATGTTTGGATGCCCAAATACACACTTCTATTAGATTATGTATCACTGATCATTAAGACTCTTCTAACTGAAGAGAAAGTATCATGGAAATTATACTATAAAAACAGTCAAGTTAATAATTAGAGTAGTAGGAATTCGATATAATCAGTAAGGCGGATGTCATATTACTTTATTTTAAACAAATATTAATATGTTCTCCTTATTAATGGCACTGACTTTTATTTTTGCATGTTCATAACAACAATCCTCAATTACTTTTCAAAACCTTAATTTCACTAAAGGGGAAAAAAAACCTTCTAATTTTCTGTCCTAATCATAATTTACACTTAGCCTTTTTTAGGACTTATGGAATTTATCTCTACTATCATCAAAAGTGTGTTTAAGACAAGTGCAGAATAACTAATTGTTCATAAGTACCTTGAAACATTAGATTA